AATATCCTGGCTTGATATGGAAAAAAGTCGACTCCTTCACGCGGCGATTTTGTATCACAAAATAATATTTTTTAAAACACCACCGTATCTTTATAATAAAATCACCTTTCGAACTGACGTTCATAATGTAAATATCAGACGAAAGGATCTCATTACTATATATCCCTGCTCTTAGTTCAGAGATATTCAAAAAATCTTTTTCATATAGCATTACCACTGTCTACAATGCCATTCCATCGAATATTAAAAAGGTTACAGTGTCCAGGTTTAAATCAGCACTACGTCACATTCTTTTGAACGAGTAAAGTGTCCCATTCTCAAGTTACTTATTAATTAACTTTTTTTTTTCACAGTATTGTCTTTTTGTGTGTGTGTGTGTGCTCTCTCTTTGTCACCCGTCCATCGAAATTGTAAACATTTAAACTGAAGTTATGTTATGGGTTAAGTGGAAGAACACCTGGTGGCGATGTTGCCCCTAGGTGAACTTCCCCCTTTAGATCGTCATCTAATAAAGACCTTATTATTATTATTATTAAGTTAAGTTTCCGAAACGTCGAGCAACTAAAAATAGTAACTTTACACGAGAGTAAACTCGAAAATGGATTTTATTAATAAAAATAGTAGCGCTCGTTGAAAACAATAACATAATCTTATCGTACCAATAGTTATCGACACATCGATATATCAATAGTAATCGGCATATCGTTATATAAATAGTTATCGATATAACGATAGGTATCAATAGTTATCGACATATCGATAGGTATCGATATATCGATAGTTATCGATCTATCGATATATCGATTTTTTTAGCTCTGCCTATTGTTATTCGATATATCGATAACTATCGATACCTATCGATATATAAAAAACAAGTTGTAAATCAGCATATGCATGATTAAAGCGCATTTTTGGTAATGCAGGTCAGTATTTTATTAGCGAAGTTTAAAATTATCGATCTCACGAGTAATTTTGGCTGCGTTAAATAATTAATTTTATTTAATTTCAATTGACGGTACGTCTTCATTTTGTAAAACAAATCACAAAGTAAATAATAAGTTTTTATACTGGTAGCGCTATCTAACGGTAAAATTATAGCACCTCCGAAACCCATATCGAAATTATTTTCTTCAATTATCGATCTCACAAGTAATCTAACTCAAAATAGACTAGTGCCTGCACATCTACACTATAGCAGAAAGCTTTTAGTGAAAATTTGAAGTCTCTAGCTATTGTAGTTGTGGAGATCAAACGCGGACAGCCGGCCTGCCAGCAATGACGAATATAATAGCGTATTTTTTTCAAAAATGCGCTAAAAATTCCCATGCGTACCTGTGACAACTAGCCCCGGTCTCCCCTACATTATCATAGATAGGTACCTATACCTAATGCATTAATCTTTATTACGAAGACAACGACGTACGGCATATATAGGTAGGTACTTACCTATAAAAAATACAAAAGTTGGAAACATATTATTTTCAACAGGATTGTGTACCTACGCGCTACGCACAACGCGCTAACCGTGCGAGAGTAGGTATGTACCTCTGTATGTAGTACTTACCTATCGGACAAAGTTTCTGGAAAATGAAAAATTTGTAAGGAAACATGTTTCAAGTGCACAGCTACCTATAACCTTCAAAAACAGTAGGTACCTAGGTAGGTACATATATTTACTTCCTATAGGTATGTAGGTACCTGCCTAGGTAAGTATAGGTAGGTACCTACCTATAATACCTAGCAATAAATTACCTATAACTCTTTTATCGAATTATATACCTAGTACCTACTTACCCTTTAATCCAACAAATAAGTTTATGATTTAAATTTTTTTGAGTGATTTTATCAAATAAATTTTTTAAGTCTTAGTAGATATAGGTACGTACCTATAGGTACCTATAAGTGCCTATCTAACACTAAAAAAGTCACAGATACCCACCTAAATTTAAATGGATCCATCAAAATTTGCAATTACTTACCTATTAGGTAAGCCACGATTAAGTATACCTACCTACTATACCTATATAACTATATGCCTTTTTAAAAGTAGGTGCCATTGTACAACACCATATACCTAGCTATTCTATTAGGTCCCACAAGCCAGCAGAGCCATTTTAGAAAAATGAAGGACGAAATACATCAGAATTATAGGCTGATTATAGGCCCTTTTTCGACACTTGAACAAATTTTCAGGCGGCATCCTTTAAAGAAAAAAACTATGGCTCTGCTGGCTAAAGACGAAGCTAGCTGACCATTTGTGAGATTTACTTCGAAGACGAAAAATTCAGATCACAAAATTATAGGCTATTTATATAGGCTTTTTTTAGACACTACAACAAATTTTCAGGCGGCATCCTTTAAACAAGAAAAACTATCATCCAGATCAGTTTGATTTTGCCCCTCTCGGAGATGTAGTGGATAAATAAAAATTATTTATTTATTGTCTATTTATTGTCCTTCTCTTGTTCTGGGCCCTCAACGGGCTTTCGCCCAATTAATATATTTATTTAAACTTATATTTCAAAAATCCGATACAACTGAATACCAAACGATCCTCGAGATCTTCACACATACATCATTTTTACAATACACCCTAAGGGGTTGATTCTGTCCCACCTGACCAGCATAGCTTGTAACACAAATTGTTTGAAATGACATTAGTTTCACTTTTATTCGAGGCGCCTAGATACAGAATTTCATTTAACTATATTAACAAATAAAAAATTAGGATTGCGCAAATACAAAAGTGGTTATGCGCATGGGCAGTATTTGTTTGCATCTGCATAGTTGCCTGAAGTTTAAGGAATATTTACTAACACAGAAAACCGGACATTCATATGTTCTTTGTAACAAGAGTTAGAAACCCTATTTGGAGGTTTGCGCAGTTTTTGGTCTGTAACTTTTTGACCCGTTGGTCTACGTAGCCGAAAAACAATTGCGAACTTTGTTATATCCTGAAGAACATGTGTATATCAATTTTTAAAGCGATCGGACGTTTCTACACACTGACAGACAGACAGACGCACAGACAGGCAGCAATACAAAATTATAAACGATCTCGAGGTTCGTTAATAATATAATGAGACGAATAATTTTAATTTTTTTTGTACTTCTTTCCAATTCAGGAATATCGTTTCAACTTTTCTTCTCCTATAATATAAGAGAAGCTACATAGACAACTAAGACACTTTTAAAATCTGAAACAAAACAACTTGCTATATATTTGATTTATTAGTAAAAGAAAATTCAAATTTCAAATACCTACTTGACAGATGTGTCCAAACAGGTGGAACAATCCCTAACATTAAAGTTACTAGAATCTGGTATCTTCCTCAATTTTTGGGCAAAAAACATGCGTTCTCTCTCTAACTCACGGGCCCAATGGATTGCGGTACTTGCTATATTTAGTGACTTATAATGGATCTACAGTGACTGTATACCTACTGTATAGAGGCAGTTTGGTCATACTTTGGTGTTGTTTTTTTATTGGTAGGTTGGATATCCGCCATATTTTAACCAAATAAATCGGGTTGGCGGAAATTAACTTGGAATCCAAGGTGATCAAGTTACAAACAGTTGTGGCAATAATATTGTAACCATAGAAAAGTGCCAAAATCTACCAATTCAATTAAACCGATCAGCTCAATGAAGAATATGGGAAAACATTGCGGATATAGAGCATATGATCACACTGTCTTTATACAGTCACTGTTAATGGATCGATATTAATTACAAGGCAAAAATTTTGCGCATGCGCATAGCGTATCGCACATGTGATCAGCTAGCTTCTTCTTTAGCCAGCAAAATCATAGTTTTTAGCATTGCAAATGCATATGTTTTGTACCTATGGGTATGAAATGAATTTACCAGGTTTGCCGAGCAGAAAAAAAGACAGTGGTGTCGCGTCTAGTGTTGATTGTACCGTACTCGATTGCAATCGGTAAGATTCAGGAAAAGTCGCGGATACTGTCGATACGGTACTTATACTTAACAGTGCGCAGGGGTTTTTTAATTCGAATTTAAAATTTTCGCACATCTCCCGTGATTGTACTTACGCCGCTTATTATTCAGAAAGTCTACGTTTGCGACACGAGCGAGCTTGTGAGCGAGTGGTGCAAGATTATTCCGTGTGAAGGGTTATTTATGACTTTATAGGTTATACGATTATCATTTCCAATGTATCCGATGGTTGCAAGGATTGCGAAATCTGTGAATTTTTTGTTTAAAGGATACCGCCTGAAAATTTGTTGTAGTGTCTAAAAAAAGCCTATAAATAGCCTATAATTTTGTAATCTGAATTTTTCGTCTTCGAAGCAAATCTCACAAGTGGTCTGCTAGCTTCGTCTTTAGCCAGCAGAGCCATAGTTTTTTTCTTTAAAGGATGCCGCCTGAAAATTTGTTCAAGTGTCCAAAAAGGGCCTATAATCAGCCTATAATTCTGATGTATTTCGTCCTTCATTTTTCTAAAATGGCTCTGCTGGCTTGTGCATGGGACCTTATTCTATTAGGTATATCATGGGTATAGAAATATACCTATGCAATGTATTTATAGGTAGATATATTAAAAATTGAAAACGGAAAATACCAATAGGTAGGTAATTAGAATTATGTCAGACACTATAATAAGTATAGGTACAACGTCGTACTTTTCAGCTTAATTATTTATATGGTTAATCATTGCAAAAAATACAAGAGAGTGTCCTATACCTATAATAAAATAGATTCTAATCTTATATAATTCAATTCCAAATAATTTATCTCTGAAATAAAACTAATTTAATGTTGCCTATTCGGGTTTTATCTCGCACAGAAAATGTGAAGAACAAGAATACTATCATTACTGCCGATTGGAAATAAAAGCCGTAATCTGCATTTTCGAAAATGTGCAGCTGCGATAACAAGGTTTGATAAAACGGCACGCGCGCGAGGCTTATCATTTCACCCAAGAAGTAAACGCGTGTTCGTATTCGAAAATGTTTATTAAAATAAAGTCAGTGTTTTGTGTTGACAGGTGTTATGGCAATTAATGAATTATTCAAAACGGGCGCGCAAGCTGCACCGATTTTTCGAGTAGGACTCATAATTTATCTTTGACTACCTACTTGAAACAATACGAATTGTCCACAATTTTTGACGAGGGTTAAATGCAGCTGGCCCGCCTACGGCCTTTTTTCCGAAATTATGCAAATCTCGCGTTTGTTGATGTTATTGTGAAAACCACCCAGATTTTTAAGCGCAAAGAGGACGGTAGCTTTAATGAGGTAGGATCCTGAAGGATATAGTGACGAGGGCGCACGCGTTCCGGTCTCCAATCGTGTATAGTCCTGTAATGGTAAAGGCGTGCTTTCCTGCTACTTTATGATATTATCTTCCCTACTCCTTGCTGTAAACGGCTTGGTAGTGGTAGCGTTGTTACCACCACATTCGATTTCTCAGTCGATACCCAAAGGTTACACGGTGTAGTTATTCAGTGAGTGTTTAAAATGTCTGCTGCAAGTGACTACATTAATTCAGATGCGATAGTTAAAGGTCATCAAGGTAAGTGCTGATTACTTTGCATTGTATCGCCTTATAGTAACGCGCTACGATTTACTTTAGGATATCCACCACCTCCTTATCAGGAAATTAAAATCGAGGCCACGCATACGTCCCCGCTTTTAACGCCGCCGCACACGCCGACGTACTCGACGTCGCCTCCTCCACGTTACCCTTGCGAGCCTTGGTTTCAAGAGCCACAGAGATACCAATACCAAAGTCAACCACCACCCGTGCCGTATCCGTCCTATAATGCCGTTTTGGTGAATCAATGGTTGCGAAACGCCGCACTTTACCACGCGAGAAGTCAAGTGGATCTCCGCGCACCGGGCAGAGCCCCAATGCCTATGAAGATGGGCCCTGGATCGTCACGTCCCAAAAAGCAATTCATTTGCAAGTTTTGCAATCGACAATTCACAAAGAGTTACAACTTACTTATTCACGAACGGACCCACACCGACGAGCGCCCGTACTCTTGCGACATCTGCGGAAAGGCCTTCAGGAGGCAAGACCACCTAAGAGACCACAGGTAAGACTCAAAAACTTAGTGTATAGTAAGTTGCTATACAATCTCGTTTCGTTTAGGTACATCCACAGCAAGGAAAAGCCGTTCAAGTGCGGAGAATGCGGAAAGGGTTTCTGTCAAAGTCGCACGCTGGCAGTTCACAAGATCCTCCACCTGGAGGAATCGCCTCACAAGTGTCCCGTCTGCAACCGCTCGTTCAACCAACGCTCAAACCTCAAAACCCACCTTCTGACGCACACAGAGAGACCGTTGGAATGCTCGATGTGTTCACAATTTTTCACTTCGTACGCCGAACTGAGGGCGCACGAAATCCAACACTCCACCACCAGTAATCCATCAGTCGACACAAACTCATGCCTCGACCTGAGCACCAAGCGATACTCCTCAGTACAGCGATTACCAAACACCACCGACAAGGACGGCAGCACGCGAAAACCCCTCGGTTTCAGCATCGAAGACATCATGAAGCGATAGTTTGCCTCGCACATATCTGCAGCCACTGTTAGAATTTATATTTCTGTTAACCAAAGATTCCAGTAGATCAGATTACCTCAGTTAAAGACTGAATCTCAATTGCGTTACCATTTTCGATCTCCTCTATTTAATTTTTTTTTTTGTAAATATGTACAAACACAATGTAATTAAGTTGTTTTTTTTATAATTGTAGGATTAAAGTTTTATTTTACGAGCGCGTTTTCTCTTCCGACAACTACCGCCACCAGCGGCCTTAGGCTGAAAGATAAAAAGAAAACTGCATTTTCAAGGGCGCGCACACGTTTAAAACCGCAAGGTTAAACATTAATCCACCTGTCGGTAGGTCAATAATTCATTAAAAAAAGCGCTATAAATAATCGTGGAAAGGCAGAAGCTGTCAATCATTATATAGGTAGAAACCTCAAACTACCACCTTATTACATTTAATTTCGCTTATTACCCCGCGTGATTTACCCGAGCGTATCTATACCTACAGGTATATCAAGAGTATAAGAAAAAGAATCCATCAATCTATTTGACAGCTGAAAATCGCGTGCGTTATTTTCGTTTAAATTGCATTTAATTGTTTAATCGACCTATTGTTAAAATGTTTTCGTCTAATTGTGCGAGCGGCGAGAGCAATTATTTTCTATGGGGATGCGCGCTTGATTTGTGCCTGTCAATTGTGATAGATAGAAAATGCTCAAATTTGTGGGTAATTCTAGAAATTGGCCCGAACTGTTTTTGTTTCAAAAGTATTTGCCCCGATGTATAATTATAGAGATGAAAACGAGAATGGTATATAGGTACATTATAAGGGTTTTTGATTAAAGTAGAGGATTTGATAATTGATGTGGCTAATTGCAAAATTTCTTCCAAGAAAGAAGCTGTGGTGCTTCGGTCAGTATAATCGATGATCGATTCATATTGCACGCAGCATGCAGTAGATGCATTGGGGGATTCTTCATAAACAAGGCCAAAGTAGGTTAAACCTAAAAGTCCAAAGTGTCTTGAGGAAGATGTTAAGAAGATATTTATACTTACATTCACTTAGCTACCCTAGAGATTGTTCCTATCGCGAATACCTACTATAGACTTACCTAATTAAGTAGGTAGGTACCTAAGTATAGCCGATAGGTACCTACCTACCTAATCTGAAATCTAGAATAAGAATTTTAATTTGGTTTTCATGTGTGTAGAAAATCCAAAGCCTTGAAGATATTTTTCTAATTATGAATTTTCTTAATTGTCGAATTAAGAGTCTGAAATCAGTGCTATATTTATTTAGAAGCAGATTTAGGGATTTACGTGTATTGTTTTTCCCTATGTCTACTTTTAAATGACAAAATCGTTTCTGGAGGGCGCCTAATTTTATGCATCCAAAGTAGCTTCTTAAAACAAATAGATATCTGGCTGTCAATTTGAATATTGTTTGAACATATACCTACTTCACAGAAAATAAATCTCCTTATACTGTTATGTGCACTAAACTAAGTGACGAATACAACGATTTACGGCAAAATATGATTCTCTATTATGTCATTTACTAACAGGAACCATCAATAAATTATTTTGATATTTTGTCAACGCCTACTACACCAAAATGTTAAAAATTGTTTATTATTTACGTCAGAAAAAAGGCTTGTTAGTAAATTTTTCACATTTTATTTTGGTCTAGCAGGCGTTGACAAAATGTCAGAATAATACATTGATGATTCCCTTACAAATGACGTAGGTACCTCTACCTAATAAAGAATTACCTATATTGTGCCATACGTCATTGTATCCGTAGTAAAAAATGTTACTCAATATAGCATGTAGGTACTAGTGATTCGCACAAGAAGCAAGAATGGAATACTGATCTGTCACTCAAAAATGCTCTGAAGTCCCTTCGATCTCACACGAGGGATTTGATCATTTTTTCGAATGTTTTCCGAACTGATCGAAAGGTCCGAATTTTTAAATGAATTTTTTTAAATTGTTGAATTAAAAGTCTGAAATCATACCTATAGGTGTAGTGATGCTATTCATTTAGAAGTAGACTGACGTGTATTGTTTGTCTACTTTTAAATGACAAAATCTCTTCTGAAAGGCGCCTAATTTTATGCATCCAAAGTAACTTCTTAAAACAAATAAAGATCTGGTTGTCATATTAATCAATTTGAATATTGTTTGAACATACTTCACAGAAAATAAATCTCTTACGCTCCTTATATTGTTACGTGGACTACACTAAATGACAATATCAACTTTTTTTTTCAGAGTGAATACATCGCACACGAACGAAAATAAAAATACGGAATCCAAAGCAATAATATTCCAATTAATTAATATCAAGGCCAGATCTTTATTTGTTTTAAGAAGTTATTTTGGTTGCATATAAATAGGCGCCTTTCAGAAGATATTTTGTCATTTAAAAGTAGACATAGAGTAAAACAATAGGTATACGTAAATCCCTATGTTTACTTCTTAATAAATAGCACTGTATATAGGTACTTCGATATTGATGCTATAAACCCGGTTTGAACTTTGAATTATAAACTTTGATTCTGGAATTGCACAAGTCTTAATTTGTAGATTCTGCAGGGAAATTTGAATCAGTTAGTAAAATTAGTTTAGAATAGTAAGTCTGAATCTTGACGTTTACATCTTAAAAATGGAAGTAGGTATCTGTTATAGTTAGGTAGCGTTGACTATTACACAGACTGATTCAAATTCGAGGGCCACCATGGGGATCTTGGGAACTATAAGAGATACGTTAAGTTTGTCAAAGTTGCGTATTTTGATACTTAACAAAATGCAGTTTTTAAACTGAAAAATTCCGACTACTTTCGGAAATATCCGGAAAAAAAACGAAATTTTGCAAAATCGTTTTTATTTTTTACTGAAGTTATTTCAAATGATATTTGGAAATAAATGACACATTATTATGGTCTTTTTTCCCTCTACAAGGTACCACTTTTAAATTTTAAGTTTGACGTTTCATCTCCGGTCAACCATCATCAACTTTGTTTTTTCTTGTGGAAGTAATTTTTACTTTCTGTGTCATTCGATAGCGCATTTTTTTCTGATTTCAAAAATGTAAACATCACTAAATAGCGCTATTAATTCGTAAAAATGTAAGAAACTACGTATACGTAGATACAATATCCAAGACAATGTTTTCTAGGCTCTTAACAATATTAAAAAAATTGTCATGTTTACATTTTTGAAATCAGAAAAAAATTCTCTATCAAATGACACAAAAAGTAAAAATTATTTTCATAAAAAAAACAAAGTTGATGATGCTTAATCGGAGACGAAACGGGCGTCCTGACCAAAACAAAATTTGAAAACATGAAAGCACCCTTTGAGATGTTCAGATACTTAGGGGAAGATGAAGCAAAATCAGAAACTTGAGAAATGCTCGAGGGAAACCTCAATGAAACTTGATCTTGAAGAGAACATAAGAAGAAATTGGAGACCACATAGGAAATCCTTAGACTAAGGAAACTAAATGTAATTTACGAACCTGCAAATTTAACCTGAGGAAAAAATAAGGAGCAAGCTCAGAAGCAGCGTATATGCTTAGAACAACTTGGGATAGGTTAGCAAGTTTGAATTACTTGATGAAAACTGGAAGAAATTGAAAAGCGTGCCTCCCCCCCCCCCCCCCCCCCCCCAGTATGGGGTAATCGGAAACTATAAGAGATATACACACTCGGCTAAATTTAAAAAAAGGATGCGTAGTTTAGGACATAGACGCTTTGAAAATCTGGACATTCCGATCAGTTCCGAAGGCATTCGAAAAACCTATCAAAGCCCTCGTGTGAGATCGAAGGGACTTAAGTGAATTTTTAAGTGGCAGTTCAGTATTCCATTGCAACTCCCGTTCACCCGCAATTCGCGTTTTGACTCCACCGTCAAGCACATTCCCTTAGTCGGTACCCTCTTTCGACGGCCCGTTCACCCGCAATTCGGGTTTGAAGTTTACACTACAGCATCAGTAAGATCTTATCGGGGACAACCACATTCCCTTTATTAGTACACGTCTCCGACGTCTCGTTCACCCCCAACCCGAAAAAGAAATAAAATTCCGTCATGCAGGAGTTTACAAGATTTTCCCGACGACACCAATTTGAAATCAATCGGGCCAAAACTGTAGAAGAAGATAAGGAAAAACTGAAAAATCAACACGTTAGTATAACACGCTCGGGGATGGCGCTCTGATGTCGACGACCCCACATCATTTAGCTCCGTCTCTAAAGTGTTCAATTACAATGCTCCGGTATGTACATGTACACCTACTCCTCGTCTTTCTACAAGCCAGCAGCGGCCCAAAATGAGATTAAAAGCTACCTTTTTACAAATAAATTTGCCAAAAGCACTGTTTGAATACACTTCCTCATATGAAAAATTTACAAACGATTTTTCTGAATTAAATAATAAATAATTTTTAACATTTTGGTGTAGTAGGCGTTAACGAAATGTCAAAATAATTGATTGATGGTTCATGTTAGTAAATGACATAACAAAGAATCATATTGTGCCGTATAACCGAAAAAACCGAAAAAATCGAATATGGTTATTTTCGGTTTCTTTTCGAATATTTTCAGAAGTGATTGGAACTTCTAAATTTTTAAAGCCCGTTTTACATGGTCAAAGTACGATTTGAGGAAATTTTTGAAGTGAAGTCAAATGAAATACGAACCAAAAAAATATAGGTTAGATCGACGCCTTTCATAACTTTTTTCTCTTTTATTTCTGTGCAGTTGTAATTTTCGCCTTTACGCCCGTCGACACACATGACACAATTTATTTATTTATTTATGTATTTCCCGATTCCCCATGCTGTTTGTTCTTATCTTGGACACACTGTATACATAACAATATATTTTACACTAATTATATAGTCAAAAAAATGATGAGGGTAATCTTTTTCTGTTAAGGAATTGTACTACGATGGCAAGGGGGGGAGGGGGCAAATTATCAGAGCCTAGGGTTCATTAGTCATTATCCGGCTAGTCCACCTCTGAGTGGATGTTATATTAAACAGGGGCCCGTAGACGGTTTACAAATGTAGATAATGTCAACAAATGTTCACCTACCATTATCTACCTATACAGTATACAGCGTTGAAATTTTGTCTGGAACGCTGTATATCTTCAAAACGATTTTTTTAAAGAAATTTTTGCTATC